TGGGCTCCCAGCTGTGGGAGAGGGTGTCGGCTTCTCCCGCCCCTGCTGCGCAGCCTCCTCCCGGGGCCGCTCAGGCCAGGCTGGCAGGTGGTGGAGCTGAACGAGCCGCTGCTCATCCCGACGGGCACCATAACCACAAAGCGCCGGCACCCAGGAGGCTCCTGCAGGCAGGACTGAACGTCTCTCCGGAGGCCGGCCAGGAACATGCCCAAGGGCACACGGTGAGTCAGAACCAGGACCGGACCCAGGAGTCCGGCTGTAGGGGAGAGGAAACCAGGCAAACCCTGCGACTAACGCTCCCCGAGCCGCTGCTCATCCCGACGGGCACCATAACCACAAAGCGCCGGCACCCAGGAGGCTCCTGCAGGCAGGACTGAACGTCTCTCCGGAGGCCGGCCAGGAACATGCCCAAGGGCACACGGTGAGTCAGAACCAGGACCGGACCCAGGAGTCCGGCTGTAGGGGAGAGGAAACCAGGCAAACCCTGCGACTAACGCTCCCCCGGGCCCAGAGGAAACAGCTGCTCTCCCGGACGGAGCGCACCGCGTGGCCTGGACGGCGCCGGGTGGGGCAGCAGGCGGTTACCGGACGTCGGCGAGTCCACGACGGAGCTCGGCGGGGGCGGCTCCACGTTGAAATGGAACGTTTGCGTCTCCGACATCCCGCCATCGTCCTCGATCCCGTCAACGACCCTAAGGGAGGGGGGGTTATGGCCAGGGAAGGGTCCTCCCTGGGCATCGCTAAGCGGCCCCTCTGCCTCTTAGGCATGGGGCAAATTCATGCCCTGGGCGACCGAGCTGGGCTCCAGACCCTCCCTCGCGCCCTGGGCGACCGAGCTGGGCTCCAGACCCTCCCTCGCGCCCTGGGCGACCGAGCTGAGCTCCAGACCCTCCCTCGCGCCCTGGGCTCACTGGCTCCTATGGGGCAATGCCCAAGGATTGCAACGCAGCCAGCTGAGCAGAGGACGGCAGCTGCTGGTGAAAGTGAAACGAGCCAATGGGTCTCAGCCTTGATCCAGGCAGATGGCCCCATGGAGCCAGCCCCACCCCCACCCCGTGGCACTTACCGCCCATCCCCCAGGCTGGCAGCACCGGCAGGGGGGCCAGGGCTGGGTGGGCAGAGGCAGAGGCGCCCGGCACGGACACGCTGGGGTGTGGGGTGCTTGCCTCACGTCTGCAGGCAGTAACTGGAGTATTTGGCTGTATCACGGCGGGGTC